TATATATAAATAGCTGGGATAACTGCACTGTTGATGTATTATAGTTTATTGAAAGGAACAGTTACTGCTTTATTTATTTTGACCCATTTTGCATGCTTATATTTGGTAATCTGAGCAACTGATTTGAAGACAACAATATGCAACACAACAACCATTGGTGAATTCCTACCATCTTGTTTAGTGAAACTCTGTATCATCTCTAATTTTTTTAATTATTATTTTTTATTTTTTTTTAATGGTTTGATCAATCTTGCATTGTTACAACTGGTTACATGAGCAACTATGTTGAAAATAAAAATATGTAATATAACAACCACTGTTAATTCTTATCATTTTGTTCTGAAACACTGTATCATTCTTATTGTTTTTCCTTTGTTTTGTTTTTGTCTATGTTGTTGGTATTTTGCTATTGTTCTTTTTTATTAGTATTTTCTTCTTTAAATTTTTTTTTAAAAAGTTTGGAGAAGTCAGGAATGTGGATTGTCTGAGTAAAACTGTAAGGAGGGAGCAAAGTGAACCCAAAAGAGCAGTGTGGGAGCTACAGCCACCAGAAATGCTGTAGCAGTGGAGCTACTCAAGCCCTTCGGAGTTCACACCTCGCCGCAGATTGCCTCACATGCTGCACATGGAACTACAGGGCTTAATGTCTGCCCTGCTGGATTTTAGATTTGCTTTGGTCCCAGTCCTTTGTATCCCCCTGTTTGTAACTTTTGGAATGGAAATGTCTACCTTGTGCCATTGAATGCTGGAAGTGTTTTTTTGTTGTTGTTTTTTGTTTTTTGTAGGAGGACTTACAGCTAACAGTTTGCTGTGAGGAGGAGACTCAGTGGAGACTACGGACTTGGACTTTTCAGCAGTGAGGAAACTGTTAGGACATTGGATAAATGCATTTTGCACAAAGGAATGTACATGAGTCTTTGGGGGGCCAGGGTGGAATTTTATAGTTTGTATCTGGATGTCACCCCAAAGCCTCATGTACTTTTTAATGGGCTTTTTTGTGAGTAGCTGAATCTAGAGTATGTGAATGACTCATGGTTCAATGCTAGGATTAAGGGTGCTGAGATTAAGTGTGGGTGATAACTGGATCTGTCCACTGGGTACATTGACACTGCCCTAATCCAGGTAGATTTGGTACAACCTAAAGGGCGGAAAGAGCTTTGTCTCCTCTCCTCTCTGGTTCCTTTTTCTGTCTTCCATCACCATGAACTGCTGTCGCCCCTCTGCCGTGTGCCACCCTGCCTTGGAGCCAGATTAGGGACTGAGCCCCTTCCCCCCTTTAAACTTTAGGTGTCCAGCATTTCATCTCAGCAATGGGAAACATTACTAAGATACATCCTTATACTTTTATATCAGTGAGCTCAAGGGCTAAAGTCTAAATTTTGGAAAACCATCCACACCAAAGCAAACTCACACATATGTCTATATCATTTCATCTTACAGTGTGTTAGTTTAATTAGTATTATCAGACTTCAAATAATTATAAAGAATAAGTTTGTTCAACAAATAGACATTAATAGTCTAATTTTCTTTTAATATCAATGAAGATATTCAGCTAAAGTCATATAATTCAGCTACAGTCATATAATTTTCTGTCTATAATTCTCCATGTATAGATGTTCTAGTAATTTTTGATGTGTCATTTCTTCTTAATATTTGTATTAAAACCGAACTTTTAAAAATGCATTTGTCTTTTCTCCCAGTAAGATCATGAAATCCTTGGCAAAACTATGTCTTATCCCGCGCCTCTTGCAGCCCCTGGGGTCGTGAAACATGTACTCTTCATGCACATCAGCAGCTGAGTGTATAACATATCCACTGTTCGGCTGATTATTCCACTCATCTCTGTACTGATCTGCATCTTGTGCTGATTTGTTTCTGCTCTGCAACCCAGTTCTCCAACTTGACCTCTCCATCACAGTATCTGTTTTATCAAATTCCCTCTTCACTTTAAATCAAATCAAATCCTTCTGTTTACTTTTCACTTACATTACTGCCTGAAAATGTCTATCAGATGTACTTATACCTAGATTATTTATGCCGGGGCTGTAATGGATTTCAAAATACCGTATGTGTCAAAGATGCTTCCTCATGCAAAAATGCTTCTACTTTATTGCATCTACTCAATTTTGCAAGCCAAAACTCCTCCCTGCTGTCATTTCCACAGTAACACTAGAAAGGACACTGGTTGTATGAAAATTTTAAAGGATACCTCTTGTCTAGTACATATTTGTAGTTACTCATTTCATTTATTTAATACTCTATATTTAATACTCTTGAAAGCCTGTGGTAATCATCACCCATTCTATATTCTTCTGTATTTTGAATTTCTGTAAGCTCCTCCTCTTTTCATTTAAATTTAGTTCAACCATTGACATGAATTTCTCGTGTGGACATTTTAATCAGCTGGCCTAGGTTCCAAGTAAATGTTTTGAAACATAAGCAGGTTGCATCATCTACTTTAATAGATTTCAGGAAATGGGGCTGTTTTATCTGCACCTAAGCAAAACGCCAGGAGTGCAGTCCTATACTGCGACAAACCTGTAACAACACACTCCCCTTTCACAGTTATAGCAAGTTTAGCTTTCTTATTGTGTACATAATGGGGTGGGGGAGCGGCCTTTTTATTTGTAAGCAGTACCCCAAAAGTATGTGGGCTACCACTTGCATGATACAGAAAATGTAGTTTTTCTACTGAAAAATTGTTTATTTCATAATCATTCAAGTACAAAGGAGGCTATATAAAAAACTGACTTGAAGAATCAGAATGAAAAGATTAGAACTATTTTTGGTGTTGCTTTCTCTGATTTGAGAGTTCAGTTTCAAAGGAAATGTCTCAAGCAAAGGGCATATCTCTCGCCTGCGACAGCTCTAAAGGAGTCAGAGCTGATAGGGAGGACTTTTTCCTAAGATCCAGCTGACAGAGCCATATCTTTGTATTATCCTTTGGCCCATGAATAGGACATCTCCCAGGGCCAGTACTGAACCTGAAAAGGGACCGAGTGGCTGCTGTCATGCTGCTCACAGATGCTGCACACATTTGCTTGAGAAGTAATTCAAGTGTGCCTTTAATAAAATTATTTTAAAATCCAAAACCTAGAATATATTCTCCAGAAATGGGGATATCCACATAATGTTATCAGTGTAGAGAAATCATTTTTGTGCAAGAAAATGTGGAATATCCTCACGACAGTCATTGCGCCCCAGTCCTCTCATTGGCCCTAAGCTCAGTGACTATGAGCTTCTAAAGAAGCAATGCTGAACAGAGGAACTTCAAGACTAATCAGGTTTGGGGTGGAATGTCTGCCTTCCCCTCAATACTGGGGAAGAAAATCAAACAAATTGACTGAAGCAGAATTAAGGACTTCACGCATTCACGACATGAAGAGTGACACCTTGTTAGTGATCTACGTGTCACATTAAACCGTGCTAGCTTTCGAACTGCATCTGTGAATTTGCTTGGCTTCTTAGGAAGGTGGTTAACAATGGACGTTACTTGAGGATATTTATTTTGAAGCATTGTAAAAAAGGCTTGAATTTAGGCATATCTAGACAGTGCCACCTTGTGGTAAAACGCAGTAAAGGTAAGTGAAGAATTCTGAACCAAGCATAAAGATCCTGGTGTAATAGAGTCATGGAAATTGACCTAAAGATTACAGGGAAACCAGTTTATTTTCTGTTTTAATATCCTCACACAAGAACAAAAAGTATGTTATATAGTATAAAGGTATAATACTGTCATATATTAACATATATAGACATACATATGTAGTCTGGTGGTATTTTTAAAATACGCAGAAAAAAAACTGAGTAAATATTATTTAAGATAAGTTTGCCTTTTACCGTCATCGTTCTGTTCAGTCTTTCTTCAACCCCATTCAACTACTAATTCTCAAATGGACAGATTTCAAATCTCAGAAAAAATTATTTTTATTGGAGAAAACCGTGGTTTGGACAGAACATGGCAACACAGCGTCTTTCTGTTAACGGCGGCCTCTCGCTCAGCGCACGGGTTAGCGTCGCGCGCGGGGAGGCTGGAGGGAAGCACATTTTGACTCAGGAGGTGCCCGGAGACCCCGCATTCTTATACTCTGAAAGCCATGTGCGATCTTTAGCTTTGGAATGATAATCTTGAAAGAAATCAGATGTAAGCAAATCCCTACAAATAGATACTAGGTTTCATGTTTATATTTGTAGCTGTTTCATATTTTTCCCATTTGGATATCTTAAATTTATCTCTTAATTTATGACTGCTCTGAACACTTCAGAGGAAAGAGGATATAGATTCAAGGACTTCTAAGTAATTAATGTAAATAAGTAAATTTGGGTCTGTTTTATGGCTCTTAATTACATGGATAGTAAATAATTCAGCCGCACTTCCTTCCTACATCCAGATGAAAATACCTGTAGCTATATGAGGCTGCCTTGTCCATACAACTGTTGTCATAGCTCTTTGGCACAGCAAGGTGTGCACGTGTGTCCTCTCCAGCCATGCACCTGGACTCTGAGTCGCTGGACATCCCTTTTCCACCAGTCTTGAACAAACCCAGAGGTATAGCACAGGGAGAGGTCAGTGTCCCTACGATTTATCATTTGTTTCTGTGCGTCTCTTCCATGAATTCATTCTTCATTTCCTCATACTCATCAATCTCCTTCCACTTAAATCTCCTGTAAATCTTTAACTTACAATTAAGTGCTTAATTATATATTGTCATTCTTGCCCTGTAATGGTTTTATAAGTGTTAGTTTTATTTCTCAACTATTTGCTGAGCAGCTAGGGAACAGGGATTACATATGTTACTTGATAAAGTCTTGCACATAGGACATAATACACCCAGTGTTCCATGAATATTTTAAACTAGGAGAAATTTTAGAGCATAGCAGGGTTTGTCCTTGTTGTGCTGGGTATTTGGGGAAATACTTAGCCTAGGAAGAATGCTTTTTGAGTTTGTACAACCTCTTAAGTTGGGACTGAGAATCCAGTCTAGTGGGTTAGATATTGAATATTGAATAGTCAGATACTGAATAGTCAAATGAATAGTCAAATACTGGAAATATATAAAAACTCAGCTGAGTTTTTATATTGAAATAATCAAATGAATAGTCAAGTATTGAATAAGTCAAATGAATAGTCAAATACTGGAAATATATAAAAACTCAGCTGAGAAATTTTGAAGGAGCAACAACTTCCTGAAGGAATCAGCAAACATGGAGGAGCAACATTTGTGCTGCAGAGAAGGGCATTCTGGATAAAGCATGCATGGGAAAGGCAACAGAACACAGTAGTATCCAGAAATATTGGAGGAGTTGTTTCCTCAGGGCAGAAGAAATGAAGGTGGGCAGTTGAGCCTTGTGCTGTGTGATTGCATGAGATATAAATGAAACCCAGGTTGTAATGAACTTTATTTACTTTGCAAACAGCTAGGATTTAAATGCCTGGGGTCTGTCTCAGTTTTCTTTTCTGTTTTGTTTCTGACCCCACCACTCTAGAGCCCCCCATTCTGTCTTGAATGAAATTTTGGAGTATGATCATAAAAATTCTCCCCTCTCCTAGATTATAGCTGCATCAATCAGAACTCTCCACAGCTGAGTAATATCAAGTCACTTTGCACAAAACCCATTTGTGGGCTGCCATTTCCTACCAAATTGAGAATAACTTCTGCACGTGGGTGTCTTCAGTGGTAGGACCATGACCTGATCACCTAGCACCTTCTAATCTGCTCTGAGGCAGTCAAATGAAATTCCGGCTCTCTCGCAAAGCTATTTTTGTCAGTAGAAATTGCCGCATCCTAATTAATAATACTTTGCATGTCACCTGATGTACCCTATTATCTGCACCTAAATTCTGCCTCCTCCAAGCTCCATCATGAGTGAAAAGTTCTTCTTGAGTTGTCGCACTGCACGCATTTCTCCTTTGCATGTTTTGTATCTGTATTTATGCCAGTGACAGCTTGGCTTAAATCTTCTGTCCTGTACTATGTAAAGGTTGCTTGTGTTCTTCTCTCCACATATTCACTTCATCTACATCTCCTGTTCTCTCCTTGAGAAAAAAGATATAGACTATAGTCATCTTCACTGACCCTGAAGCAGTTGGCATTCAATCTTGCTATGGTCAGTTTTTAGCATTGTACAAATCCATGGTTTACTTTTCTTTGGTCATGATATGACACGATGACACAGGTATATTTCAGCATCTGATTCTATATCCTCCCCAGAGCCCACAACATACAGAAAGAATTTAGCCTGGATGCATGGAATAAAATAAGATGAAGAATTAAATTGGGGAACCTGATGGAACTGTTAAGTGTGATTACGGCACGGAAATCACAAGATTCCACCAAAGAAAATGAAACAATACGCTCTGCAGAAGACTTTCAACCTCACTTTAGAGCTCTGGTTAGTGGACTGAAGTGATTTCCTTGCAAATACATGTACGAGAATAAATTTAATGAAAAGAGATAAGGAACATTCTACATATTCCTTACAAGGTTCCGTGGGTTGAATAAAAGGGTTAATAAAGTCCTCTTCAAGAAAAGAATGATTACGGATCTTTCTTCATCCTTTTAAAGAAACATTATTATGTAGAAAATTTGGACAACAAACAAGTATCAAAATGATTCTTAAAAATTATAATTATATTATGTGGAATTATATTAAATGATCCTGCTTTAATCCTGGTCTTTTTTTTTCACAGAGAAATATGTGGGAAACATTTCCTCATGTCATTAATTTTAAAATATAACTGCTCTATGGTTGCATTCTATACTGTGCACCATAACTTACTAAATTAATAAAGTGGGGCCAGTTTTTAAATCTTCTGGCTTTGCAGGGAGGAAAAAAAAAGCAATCATCTGTGTTTTCTAAATTGGAATAGATCCAAAGCACTCTGGAGGAGAAAACCATACCATAAGTACTCAGTCTCACCCTAAAAATACCACAAGGTGTTTCAATGTCAACAGTATATTTTTGCTACTTTCCTGCATTCATAGTCAGAGCATAACCAAAAAAAAAAAAAAAACATGGCAAGGGCACTCAGGTGACATGTTGTATGCTCCTCTGGAGCAAGATCACACTGTTAATTAAATTACAATATTTTTAAAAGCAAGCAGCAGAACATGGAGCCTCCCCTGAGTGCCTCATTTCTGAGTTAGTCATGAATTCCTTTACTAAGGTAGAGTTCCGAGAGGAAGCATAGGAGTCATTGCCACAGAAGTCCCTGCAACAGGGGAAATTTACAATTAGTGATATGAAGCTCTCTTGAACTCTTCTTTAGCAGGAAACAAACCCTAATAGCACTGGGTAGGCAAAGACACCGAACTGTGGAACCTGATCCAGGAGCAGGCTCCTTAATCTCTGTCTCAACCTTATTTATAAAATTCAGCTATTAGCCACTTTGAATAATTAATCCACCAACAGTAGCAATTCACCTTGAAGTTTATAAGGGAAGAACAATAGTTTTGTGGAATAAAGTATAAATTCTATCTGTATCTAGATGCTAAGAAAGCATATTTATAGACTAAAGGAGGTCAGTAAAAGCATATACATAGAGACAATCCAAGCTTATTCTCATAATGAATTTTATGTTTAATTTAAAGTTCTAAGAATCAGTCCTTATATATGTCAGCTAAAGTTGTGTAAGTATAAATGTAGATTATAGATATGGACACGCACATAAAGATAAAATTGAGTGCTTAGCCACAAGCCTAAAAATATACTAAATGGTTTATGTACACTCTGTCATTTAATTTAGTAACCCAAGAAAGCTTATTATATTCTTCATCCTCTAAGAAAGAAAATAAACTCCAGATTGCCACTGACCTCGCAGTCAGCCATGCTCTCACAATCGCTCCATTCAGTTAAATGTGTCCTCCATAGCTGTATCATGACCATTTATTGCATGATTAAGATCTATTTACTGTTTGCTTGTCACAAGCTAACCAGCGGGTACGAGCCATCTCCTTTAAACTCCATGGTGCCCTGCGACTTGGGTCTAGTGGCCAGCACCGGTTTGACTGCTGCTGTTTGCATAATTGTTTTTCTTTTGTTAGGGAAACTTCCCTTCCTCTCTTTCACACAGTTCTCCCTGGACCCCAGTAAGAGGAGCCTGCTCCCCTTGATGTAGTGCCAGGCATGGGACTGAAACCACCACAACCAGATTCTCTTTTCCGGAGACATGAATCTTAACAGCACACAAGGGAAGAAGGAGCCCAGTGGTCTACTCAGAAGTCTCCAACTCCATTGCAGTTCCTCCCCTTCTCTGCCATGCTCAACTGTACAGCTCTTCCTTTGACCCTGCGAGATAGAGTAAAACAATTTTTCATTGCATCTCTTAGGTAAAATTATTTTTGAACATCGGTTGTTCGCTTTTATTCTTGTTACTTGCATTCAAATTACTGCCCTCCCATTCAGAGGTGATTGAGGTTAAGATATGGAACCATGATGAGTAAGATTTGGAGAGAACAAAAAACTCACCTGACTAGGAAGTAGATGTCAGCTTTCCTTTTGCTTTTTACACTGAGATTTTGTCCACACCGGTTCGCGCAGACTAAACTTTGCCGCCTGGATGGGAGCTCATCTTGGAAAGGATGTTTGCACAGAGAAGCCTGGTGAAGGATTCCAAGCAGGAAAAACCAGTGAGGCTTCAGTGCCTGCTAGGTAGATCTGGAGATTTCTCTCTGTTGTTTTCCAGGACTGGAACAAAATAGAAGCGATTTGGTAGATCTCCCCCAGGCTTCTGTTCTACTGTGAACCAGATCGGGAGGATGTGGAATGATTCTTGACTGACTGTCTTCTACACAAGGAAGCCAATGGGGGTAAAGCTAGACAAAAGACGGGAGCAGCTGTCTAGACTGGTAGTGACAAGAAATATGACTAGACAGTTGTGCATCTGCTTGTCTGCAGCCAAGTTCGCTGCAACAAGAAGCTTCTGTTCCCGAGGATCGGCCTGGGGATCCCCTCTGCAGATTCCTGCCTCTTCAGCTGAACCTAAAATAAGGCAGGGGCTGGTAGGAATGTGTGGAAACTCCAACTATCCCTCCCCAAACAAATGTTCCCCTTAAAGGTTTAGCTTACTTCCTGTTTAAAGCCATGTTTCCATAAACACGCACAAGCACACACGCGCACACACGCGCACACACACATCCTTTGTGCCACTCTAATTCTTAGAGAACTAAGCTACGTCTGCATATATTCATATTCTACATATATCTACGTAACACAGGTGACATCCAGCGTCCTCTAGACTTCTTACATGGCATACGCCGAAGTTCTCCATGCTGTTTAGGAGGCCTCTCTGAAATGCTGCTCTCACTGGAAAAAGAAAAGGTCATATCGAGCCCTCTCTCCTTTCCTCATCATTTCATTCTTGGAAAAACAGTGTGTTTTTTCCATGAGGTTCTTGCATGAGTTCCCACTATTTTATGTGATTTTCTTGCATAAAACCATGAACTAGAGCCAGAAACATAAGCAGATGAATTGGACCTGAGGGGATTGTATACAAGCATTGTGTTCCCAGTCAACTGCACTGCTTTAATTACTTAAAAAATATAAATAGTATGGTAGGGTACACATCTGATTCCTCTGCCTAAGCAGTAATAGTGGCTGGGTGAGATGGTCCAAATCCTACCACATATAGGTTATGTTAATCTTTTTCTCTAGATGCAGACTTATCAGTCTTCATGTATAGACTGTTTGCATCCCTGAAAGTGGCTGAGGAGCTGGGCATTTGGACTCTGAGAGTGTTGGGAGTTAATATCACTGTAAACCTACTATGTACCATTCTCTCTACCACGGGCCAAGTACAGTTCTAAGCGCCATGGGTCCTTGCTCTCTTTAAAGCTGATAAGAGCTGGGTGTGGTGGCACATGCCTGTAATCCCAGCACTCAGGAGGTGGAGGCAAGGCCAGCTTGGGCTACAAAGTGAGTTCAAGGCCAGCCTGAACTGCATAGCCAGATGCTGTCTCAAATAAATAAATAAATAAATAAATAAATAAATCAAGCTTATAAGAAGGTCATAGTCTATCTGCAGTAGGAGAAAAAGAAGAAAACAATCAAAATCAAACACTTAGAGAAATACGGTGGATACACTATTTGTAGATATTGAAAAAGAAATATGAAGATGAGGAGGCAGACCCTTCAAGGAGGTAAAAGAGAATACGAAGATGCCCTGAAGTGGGAACAGGCTTGGCGTGTTCCGGGATAGGAAGTAAGGTGGGTTGAGCAGACAGGCAAGCTGCATGTTACGGCAGCTCAGCACGGTCACTTAGAAGAGGCCGCCCACTACTTGGAAGGGTTACTTCACATGTCTCCCCTTCTGCTTCTGTATCAGTATGTTGTTAATGCTTTCATTCCAAAAATAGAAAGTTAAATTGCAGAATGTATTTGGACCACTTAGCAAATAGTAACATCAAAATAAATGCTATTAATTACTTTGATATGGTTGTTGTTAACTTTGAACGTCTTCCTTTGTTTTCTACAATATTCTAAACTTCAAAGTGCAACATTTTTCTAAGAATGTGCTCTTTCTTTCACCTGAGATGCCACAGTTCTCTCTGAATTCCACGTGTAAGGCCCTCTCTACCACCCACCTCACCATTCTTTCCTCCTCCTTCCCTGAAGTTCCATCATTCTCCCTGGCTCAAGAACAGCTTTCCCTCCACATTTGATCCTACGTTAATTAATCAAACACATGTGTCAGATCCCAGGTTGTGTCTACATTCAATGTTCAGCACATCAGAGCAGAGCTCAGGATTTTTTAATGCCAACGCTCCCAAAGTCTTATGCCTGGGGCTATGTCACAAAAGTAAAGCTCATTTTAGGTAACTAGTACAATGGATAACTAGTTACAAGGATGTGAAAGGAGCTGACATACCAATAGTAGAAGGAGAGGCAACTCTCAAATTAGCAAAGGAGAAAGCTGCTGTCAGCTTAGGCTACTGGGATGAACTGAGAAAATGAAATTTCCAGAGGGTAAGGAACTTCTTACCCTGGAGGGACAGAAGCGGAAGGAGGAGGCTGAGTCTCCTCAGCAAGGGGAGATATTCAGCAGGAGCAGGAGGTGAAGACTTGTTTCATTGCTGGAGACGCTACTGAAAGACAGAATGAAAAGAAACAACCCAGGCTTTCATTTTCTCCCCCATCTGAGACCCTGCTAGTGCTTCCCATTGACCAAACCTACTTGGGAGCCAGACGGACAGGGAGTTCTGGAGAGAAGACACAAATGAGTTTCCCACAGTAGTGAGTGGAACAGTGAAGGGCAGGAAGTGTCCCTGTGCACAGGCAGTAAAGGGACAGAGCAGGAGCGGACCCCCGGGCGCCACACCAGGAACACCCCAACCAGAATGTCCTGCCTTTGGGCAGTGCGCCCATGCACCGGGGAGTGGTCTCACCCTGGACACAGTTCATCCTTGAGCAGCGGTCGTACACTCATATGTTTTCTGAGAGGGAGGCATTTTGCAGTGACTTCATGCCGCCTGCACTCAGCTTCCCTTTCTGTGCTTAGCTCGGTCCCAGAATCCAGGTCTGCGCCTCAGGAAGGGC